AAAGGTAAAAGTAACTATGTAAGTAATAAGTATAATAAGTAAGTTACTAAGGATTTACATAGTTTTTAATAAACATATAGCACTTATTACTCTAGAGCTAACTTCTAAGCTAAAGCTTACAGATAGCTCTATAACACGCTTTATACAAAGTAGGCATAAGCATACTAGTAATCCCTAGTAAGTGCACTTAACTAGAGAAGTAGATTTACTAGGCTTATTATGTTAAATAGCTAACTTACTAGTTAAAAAATTAACTCTTACTTTTTACACTAAGACATTATCTTTTATAGCTTTAGTTAAAGTAGGTAAGGCACCTTTTAAACATATATATAATAAAAAGAGCTAGAGACTAGCTACATGTATAAGCTAAAGAATATAAAGGCAAGATTCTAATAACCTAGGTAAGCCTAGAGGTGCAGGAAGTAGAGGTATATATACAACACTCTTAGAGAGAAGTAGTATACACATTGCTCTAGTTAATCTAGAGCACCTCTAAATAAACTTTTTTAAAGCATTTATTACTTATAATAACAGAGCGCTTAAAACACTTTATATAGTGTTTTTTATAGCTACTTTTTTTAAGTATCCTTAACTAAGAGCTTATAAGCTTCTAAAGAAACTTTTAAAATAAAAAGATCTATATAAATACTTATATAAAGATCTGTTTAAGATTATAGCACAGAAAAAAATAGCTACCCTACTTAAAAAAAGCACTTAAAAAAAGATTATGTAAACTAAAGTAACATCTAAGCTGCTCTTACTAAAGTAGGTATTTATATATAAATTTAACTAAGATAAGTATTTTGCTAAATATAAAGCTTATATTTATGTACGCAGTAATCTCTAGAGTAAGAACTTGCTTTAGTTAACTTATACTGCTACTCTTATAGCTAGATTCTTCTAAATAGTAATAGTAATAGCAGCTTAATTTAACTTAACAATTAAGTAATATAATGTTATAAGCGCGTTCTTAAACACACACTATAAAAGTAAGCTAGAAGTAATATATAAGCTTTTAAAAAGCTTTATAAAGCCTAGCATGTGCGTTAAGCTTTTCTAAGCCTTATATAAACTACATAACTTACTAATCTTATAGTACTAAAAGCTTTTATAGGCTTTTTAAAAGCTTAAGCTTATCTTATTTAAAAAGAAGCTATGCTTATTCTTTAACTATAATTACTATATTTTACTTTTTTTTTATATAGATAATATACTTTACATTTATTACTATAATAATAAGCTAAAAGCTTACTAATTAATTAGTGTAATTAAAAAAATGTATAAGCTAAAAAATTAAAGGCTATGTAAATAGTTTCTAAAAATTAAAATAATTAAAAATAAAAAGGCTAGAATAATCTAGCTAGTACATAACACATATATTAAGAAAGTAGTAAAAAAGTTTAACTTTATAAAAAGCGCGCTCTTTCTAGAGACTCTTTTACTATTAAAAAAGTTTATAAGCAACTAGGGATTAGTAATAAAGTATAAAATTAAAAAATACTAAAAGCGTGTAGGATTAACACTTTACACTGCAATTATAGTGCGCTCTAACATAGCGTTTATAGTATTCTAGATCTCCTACTACCTAATAAACCTAGGAAAGCAGCACTTCTAGGCAACTAAGTAATTGTGTACCTGTACTTTACAAGGTATACAGGCATATAGTATAGAGCACTAGAAGGTGCGCAACTTATTATATATAAAAACATGTCTTTTACTAATTATATAAAAACTAGATAATTATTTTATAAATATATTATTTTACTTTTTAAAAGACTAATTTTATAAAAAGTAGCTCTTTAGCTAATAGTAACTACATTTATAATAAAAGCTAAGCTGCTTACTTTAGCGCACATTATAAAAAAATTACTAGCTCTAAAACACTTTTTTAAAGAGCTTACCTTAGAGCTAGGCACACTATAGCAGATCTACTATAATAACTAGCAGATAATTAGGTTAGTAGTAAAGAAGAACGCCTAGATAACTACCTGCCTACACTATATTAATATTTAGAATATGTAGCTGCGCTAGAAGCACATAAAGAAATCTTTTAAAGTGCGCTATATTAAAATAAGCAACATGCTAGTAAATAGACTTATAAAGCACCTACTAAGGTAGTAATTTAAGCACTTTAAGCAGCTTCTTAACTTTAAAGACATGTAAATAAGCTTTTAAAAGAAGAAAGCATTAATTATTAATAGCAAGGACATCTTTATACTGCCTAAGAATAAGAGGGCTATCTACTAGTAAAAACACTCCCCTATGCTATAAAGTTTAAGTAAAGATTTAGTATATAAGATGTGTAAAAACACAGAACGCTTAAACTATAAAGAGATTAATAAGCTTACCTAAGAGTTCCTTAGCGCGCTAGCGACGCGCTAGGAGCCTAGAGGAGACAACACCCTGCTCCTCCTCCTCCTCTACCTCCTCTACCTTCTCTTCCTCCTCCTCTTCCTCCTCCTCTTCCTTCTCTTTTTCCTCCTTCTTCTTCTTCTTCTTCTCTCTTTTTTTTTTCTCTACTACATCTTTCTTAAGCAGAGCTTAAAAAACTAGCTAAAGCTAGAACACAGCCTATAGTCTATTAGTCTAATCTAAGGTATAACACATAATCTTTGCAGAGAAGCTTACCTGCTTGTCCTTTATAACAAGAGCTGCAATAAAGCGCTGCGCATATACAACAGCAACAGGGGGACTGCAAATAGGTTAAAAGCTAGATTACCCTACACACTACTACAGGGCTTACAGGGGCAGGTAGCTGTGCCTAGAGGAACAGCGCTAGCAGCGCGAACTGCTAGTAGCAGAATTATAGCACTCCCTACTAGAGCGCCCCGCAAGCGCACTCTTTATGCAGCTTAGACAGAACTGCGCGCGGAGCGCACTAGGGGGAGGCCGGCGGGGGGTGGTGGGCGCAGGGCGACAGGGGGTGGTAGGCGCGGGCTTGCGGATACGCGCAGGCCGGCGGGGGGTACTAGGCGCAGGCTTGCGGGCAGCGCGGCCCCACAGAGCAGCAGCACGCAAGCGGGCAGCTCTTTTAGCTTTATTAAGCTACAGATGCACGTTAGCAGAGATTGCAGACAGGTTTAAAGTTGTTTTTAAAGCTCTTAAAAGCATTAACTTATACGCAGCATGTTATTAGGACTTATAAAAAAGAAGCTTAAAGAGTAGCAGAATTTATTTACCTTTATTACAGCAATTACAGCACGCACGTGACCTGTGCTGCCTAGGGAAACAAGCATTACACTGCCTAGGGCAACAAGCATAAACACAAGGTAAACGCGCAGCGCCGCTCTAACAAGCTAAGTTAACGCTTAACGCAGGTGAGCTGCTGCGCAGCTCACCTAGGGGGTGTGTCGCGTATACTGAGAGCCTTAGCTGGGGCTTAGAGCCTAGGACTAGGGCTCAGAGCCTGGGACGCAGCTCAGGATCTAGAGATATTATGTTCTGAAGCTTAGTGTATATAAGGAGAGCCCTCAGCTCTCTTAGATAGCAGAGTCACTTCATCTGATCTTCTGAACAGCTACTGCTAGGCTATTTTATCCTCCACACTATACTTAGCTTTTATGTTAGCTACTAGGTAAAACTAGCCTTAGATAACCTTTAAATTCTTATAAAGCACTTTTTTATAATTATACTTATAATTAAACTTTATTATAAACTTAGAGCAGTGCTTAACTTACATACTAGGCTAGTTTAAGCTAACCTAGCCTAGATTACACTCTACGCGTAAGAAATTAGCTATATTAGCTATAGCTATAAGCTTAAAGGGAAATCTATATATAATAAGCTTAAGTATGTACTTAATAACTACTTTTTTTTTAAGCTTAGTTAGATTTCTTAATTTAGGCTAGTATTCTGCTTATAAAGGCTGTCTAGCGTGTTAATTACTTAGTGTTATATAAAAGACATTTTAAATAGCTATAGTGTGTTATAAGAAAAGTTTTAAGTCTTATTTAAAAGCTTAAAGAGTAAGCTGTATTTAACATTCTTTAGAAGATTTAATCTAGTGTTATTGTTAAGGCATTATGTAGATAGGTAGAGTATAGTAGGGGCTTAGCAAAAGTGGCCAGCTAACCTGTGTGGCCGGCTAACCTGTTAGGTACGTTATTCTATTTAATGTTTATTATCTTAGTGCTTTATGCAATACTGTTGCGTGCACTAGTACTAGGGGTATAGGCAGTTGTTAGGCCTATAAAGGGTTCTAGTAGGCCTCTCTTAGGTCTATTAGAGATATTCTTAGGTTTGTACTAGCTGTACAGGATGCTCCTTCTATTAGCAATTGTCTGTGCTATGTGAGACGCTTCTACAGAACATACACTGTCTGTAGTTTTGTTGCAAGGTAAGCGCCTTCCTACTAACTACTATTGCTAGAAGTAGGGTCTAGAGCTGTTCTAGACATAGTTTAGAGACTTTAAACCTAGCAGGTCTGCCTAGTCTTTTAAGCTTTTAATTATAGATTTTTATAAAAAACTGCTATACTGCGTTTTAGAAGTAGTAAGAGAAGGTTCTTAATTATTTCCTATAGTAAACATGTTTAGTATGTTCTGTAACACATTTAAAATATGTTTTTATTACATTAGGCTTTCTTATATACCTTAGTATTTTTGTTATTTTAGATTAAGGTATTAAATAGCTGCGTAAACTAGTCTCTAAGTTTAAATGTGCAGTCTTACCCCTTCTCTACATTATACCTAACTAGGAAAGGATTGTAGAGTGTAACAGAATTATTAAGTTTATTTATTTTATTTTAAACATGTTGTAAACATAATAGGAGGGAATTAATGTTCTAGAGAAGTCACAAAATAAGGGGCGCGTTGCTTAAAATAGTAGCAAAACTATAGGGGAGCTAACCTGCCATGAAATTTTTTTTTCATATTGCGTTTTACCCTTTTGGGAGAGTTCCGATGGTTCGCCAAGGCCAGCTCATGGTCAGGTGACATGCCGACACAAGGTGGCGTACCCGCGCTCGCTCAGGCAACGCATTACTTTGTTCCACCACTCCTTGGCCTTCATGACCCACTACAGCTGCATCCTGTGTGGGTTCGTCATCCGCTCTTCAGCCAGCGACGCCGCCGAACAGTGGCTAAGGGAATATCGTGCAAGTACGCCGGCTTCAGCATCGTTGTTGCTACACCCCACTGACGCAGCAAGTCTATTCCCACCCATCAGGCTATTCGGTAACGGGCATCGGATGCTATGATGGCAGCGCGTCCTGGACTGCGCCGTCGGACCCTGCTCGGCGATGGGACGACGACGATAGCAACCTTCGGCCGCAGGAGTTACCAGTGATGCGACAACCTCCGCTGCATGGTCGCCACGGATTTGTTCTGCATGACGCTTGCTGGATGTTGTTGCGCAGGGCATGGGGCCCAGAAGAGATCAGGGTCGACCGGCTTGTAGAAATGTGCGAATCTATACCGTTTCCCCTTCGCACCAACGGCCTGGGCTGGCAGCACCGCTACGGAGGCCTTGTAGACCTGGACACCCAAAACTATTTTCCGTGGCAAGAAACCTTGTTCCTGCCCCGCGAGGCCACCCCAGTTTTCTTAGACGTTGCCGCAAACCCCTACGACGTGCCAACCATGCCTGCAATCTTGTTAGGCTGTGCAAAACCTCAACCGGTCCGGGGTACGGAGAAAACTGCCCATGATTGTTTTTCTCGCCTGGCATGGGAGCTTCGTGAGGCTATTACCGTGTTGCTTACTACTGCAGGTGCGCTGACATTGCGCCAGGCATCCGCTTCATTCCTGCCGCTGCTATCGAGCAGTGCTTTCTGGGCCTCTCGATTCGCAGGCGACTGGGAAAGAGGCTTCGTCTTCGAAATGCACGGGTGTCGAGAGCCTACAGATTGGCTAGAGTTGTACCGGCTAACCAGTCGGAAAAGCGGCCCCACTGGCCTGCGAAATAGGTCTCGCGTTTGGTACATCATCAAACCACTAATAGAGGTTGCTAGGCTTGAGCGTAACGAAGGCCTGCCACCTACAACTGAACTGACTATACGGCCGCCCTGGTCTCAAGTGACTGGTGACATAAATTTTGATGAGCTCGAAAGAAACTGGAGACCTATTGAGCAAGGGTGTTACTCTCTACGCACTATTATCGTCCCAGTGCCTGAATGTCTCTTGAAAATTGGAGTGTCAACAATCAGCTTTAGCACTACGAGCTACGTCACAGGACTTCGTTTTGTTGCAGATAGTGCATCTGACGTCCGTATTGGGTACATTTCTAGCAGCGAGACCTTCTTTACACTACAAGAATTATTCGGATTTAAGGTTGCAGTATCCCCTGGCGGACTCAGAGCCTTACAAATTGTCGGCAAGAATAGTCACTTGTCCCAGTGGCTTGGATGTCTAAGCGGTGTTCCAGTTTCAGAGCGCTTGATTAGATCACAGCCTATTAAAGCGGTATCCGTTAGACTTGATGTGAGTGATTTCCAATAAGCCGACGTGCTGAAGCTCAGGAATATGGCTTAGGGATTCAAAATAGTTGGCCTGGGTGTTAGTGCGCTAGACGCCATTTCAGACCAGGACCTTGGAACCACTGGTCCGCCACTGCGAGAGACGGCTCTATGGTACCCTAGCAAGCCACCAAACGAACTCTATCTGAATGAAAGCTCGTTTACAGGCCAGAACCCATGCCATATCGGCTACCGTCCACTGTTATGGAACCATTTCGGTGGACAACGAGGCAGCGATCTTAAAAACATTGTGGGACTGTTTGTCCAGAGTAGGTACCGGTTGAGCGCTTTGGAATTCGTGTACGATGGTATCTGCGGATATTCATCAAGTAAGCTTGGTCGATGCAATGACGAGGTGGTTCACCCGGGACCAATGTTCATTATTGATGGCGTTCATGGCGAACTTATTACATCCGTCTCTGTTCACGTCGAAAAAGATAAACATCCAGGGGACTACGATTTCTTACGATACGGGCTTTTGAAATGCTTCAGAGTGAGTTAGTATTAGAAACTGTCTTTTCCCCCCCTTTGGAGTGCACTGGACTAATTGAACTTCATGCGCTAGATAACAACCAATCGAGGCCGAGAGTTCCAAAGTAATGTAGACTGCAATCATTCAGAGATGCAGTCCTTAACTATTGCTGCGGGAACAACAATTACTGGTCTCTATACGAGTTATGTGAGTATAAGGAACGCTGTCCAAAACAGACATAAAACGCTTCCATAGATAGGACCCACAGTATGGTCTTATTAGCCTAGGGGTAATCTCAGAATTACTTTGAGATCATAGCGGTCACGCATAAGGATTGCGGCGCGGTGTGCGGTGGGGAGAGGCAAAAAGACCCCTTTCATCTCTTCGTTCCTTAAGGCACAACTGGCAGCTAGAATGCGACCTCAGGAGGGACTTATAATCACTGAACACTCCTCAATGAAATTGGAATAATTAATCACTTCATTAGTTAGTGTAATGGGTCCGTGTTTTCTCATACAAAAGACCTCTATGCGGCACGTGCAAAGTGTGTCAATACTCATTTTTGCAACCCCCCTGTAGAAACTCTAGTGTCATAGCAGCTAGCCTACCTTGCGCTGGCGCCTTGCTCCCCGCTTTGCAGTAGGAGTTCGCTAGAAGAACTATTTTGGGACCCATAACTACCTCATCGTTCCTCTTTTGACATCACGTGATATTGCTGTTTTAGGAAATAGAAGCTGCCCTCCCCTGTGGGATAATTGCTGCGCTAGGCAACGCGTGGGAGGGGCTGGAACACGTATATCTACGAGGGGTTCGGCTCGTCTTCAGTGTACAGGTAATTTTAATAGAAGGCTCAAGCTATCCATATCACCTTCTCCTAGCTTGTAAGAATGCTTCACGAGAGTTACTCGAATAGACTCGAATAGCAGCCTGGTTGGGATTTAGGCAGTACGCAAAACGCAAAAACCAGAAAACGAGAAAACTAGGAACACAGGCGCATGTTGTAACATCGACCTACATTTTTCCAACAGGGGGTGGGGAACCTGTTTTGGCGCTCCAAATAAGAAGTCATCCCATATCTGTATTTGCATATTTGTTGGTCACAGTGTCCATCTACAATTATGTCGTCTCGGCAGCACTATAAGGTAGCTTTCTCGAAGGCAAGACGAGCAGCGAACAATAACTACTAGAAACTATCCAAAACCTTCTGCAGAAATTAACCAAGTTATGCCTAGAATATATTTTCTAGCGTATCGTAATGATCCATTGGGCGGATTCGTGTCTACGGATAACGCCAGTCAGCCTTGGTCGCCCCTAAGCTAAGATAATCCAGTAGGGCCCTTCCCCTTCCCCTTTATGGATATATAAAGCTAACGCCTAATAAGGACAAGATGTAGCCCGCCGGTGATAAAGTCGCCGGCCCATGTTTGTCGAGCTTGTAAAGCTATTCCAGAAGATTCGAGCACGTAGTTAGGAACCCCAGCTGGACAAGAAGCCAAGCCCGGAGGAGCTAAGGGCGACAAAACGCCAAAGGTGCACCATTAGAGGCTCGGCATTGCACCAGCCCAACAACCTCCGATGCCCCCCTATTTGAAATCGTGACTGGTGCGTCTTGGCCTAGAGTTAGTTTTCGAAAGCGTAATATCTAGTTTTAAATTGAATATTACACAACCCTTCGCAATGACTCATCCCAGCCGGAAATCTTAGACCAGAACTAGCAAACCCTTGAAGCTTCTAACCGTTGACATTGCTTTCGGTAGTGCGAGAATAGAGCCTCCTCCAACCTTTAATATATGACTAAAGCGTGTAGAAAGCAGGGCTACTATGCTATTGAACTTTGAGTGTCCATGCGTTTTGTGCAACAGTCTAGAACTATACACGCGTCCTATATATGCACCTCACAGAAGCTTTCCCCGACACCAAAATTGACTTCAAACGCAGGACCTGCAGGCTATTAGAGACTTAAACAGAGGCTGAGCGAAGCCCGCACTTTCTCCCTAAACAACGCTACTCAGAGCTACTATGTCTAAGCATTTCTGAATTGTACGCTTATTACACGGGCTGAAATATAGCTATTATAAACAGGAGTAGTTGCACTTTAGGCCTAGAGTCTACGTAGTTACCATATTTCGTGAGGCTGCAGTAAGAACCGACTACAGCCGCTTGATTCGCTAGCCTTCCTATTGTTGCCTACGACAAAAGGTAATATGTGACGCGCAGGCGAGAGGGCTAGTATCCATTGTGTGAGTTAAATGGCTAAGGAGTAGGTGTGCACTCTGTTATTGAAGAGTACCACTGCGGCATAAACAGATGTTTATAAATAGCTCGGCATCTCATCGCGGTGCCTCAACTGGAGCCAGTTGTCTGGCTTGTGCTCTGTAGCCCAGAGGTCCGATGCAGCCAGTTTCCCATAAGCCAGCCAAGTACTAGCCATTGACCCGAGCGTCGGCTTCTACTGCGTTATTGCTAAATTTAGGCGGCCGAGTTGTTTTCACGATTTATCATAGTGACTTCCCGCGCTTGCTCTCGAGCCGGCAGTTCTAATAGGTGGCGAAAACGGAGTGTTGGTTATAGAATAAAAACCCTCTATTACAGGGTTTACAGTGTGTAAATCACACCTTGATTAAAGGTGGCTTTATGTATATATTGTCAAAGTCCTGGAGGAGCAACTTTGGTTTGTTTCCGCCCAAACTATCCTCAGCTGCCAGATAGGTCCAGTTCATAGCGCCCGACCAAGTGCTTACTATTTGCTGACTGGTGGTCTCCGATGAGCTATTCCAAGTATCTTTCACCAATTTCCATCGATCCGTTTCGGGTTGACTAGCAGGCGTCCATGCTGGACTTGCTGGTGCAAATACTTGGATTTTAGGTTGCTTTTCATCATCATCGTACACTGATTCCATGGCAGCTTTGGCCGCATCAAACTTTGCGAAATTTCCATCAGATGTCTCAGGCTCTGGAGCGCGAATGACCAAACCGGTAGTCAGATTCATGGAAACATCCGAACTGCCCAGTAAGTTTTTCAGCTGGTTACTTATGATGGGATCTTCACTTTCGTCATCTGCAAGAGGCGTTAGCATTATACCGTGCACCAGGGGCCGCAACATATCAAAGCTAGGAAGTTTCACAAATCATCCCTAATCATGATAAAAAGACAAAATAAATGAATAGGTGCCTTACACTTCTCCCAAAGAGCGCGGGGAACTGCGCTGCTAGTCCGTTCAAACCTCCACGCTGACTCTTCATTACCAGGATGTTGTATCCCAATAGTCAACTCAGACTTTGTCAGCTGATCAGTCAGCTGCATGGGCTTGGCATAAAGAGGTGTGCTGTCACCCAGCTCTGGCCTTGCCTTGTTGTTGATCGTAACGCCGTAAAATGCCACTTTACACGATACTGCAATCTGGAGTATACCACCTGTAACCCTCCACGGTTCACTGGACTCTGGAGCTACTGTAGTCTTTGGGGGTATTAATCCTCGCACGCATGAGTACACATGCGGCGCGCTCTTGTTGGAAGTACCCGTGGAAGACTGCAAAAGCAAGTCATAGAACCGTCTCAGAGTTAGCACGTCTGGTTTCGCACCCTGACTTCCGAACTTGACATCGAAACCAAACACCCAGAAGTTGACGTGCACATAACCTGCGACAGGCGGACCTTCAATGTGCAAGGTGGCGCCAATCTCCACTTGGATGTGGAGGCTTACGAGCCATAGATCCAAGTCATATGCAACTCCCACGGAGATTCCACCGTCTCCGATGAAGTAAAACGGCTGATAATTAATCAAGAAATCGACGTAAGCATCAAACCAAGCTCTGAGCGGACCTAGTGAAAGTGAAGCGTGCAATTTGCCTCCACCCATACACACCTTTGGTGTGACGGCAAAATACGCCTCGCCAGATATAGCAAGAGTGTCATCCAAATTCCAACTAATCTTCAGTCGCTCTACCTTTGGATATTGAGGGGGCGGTTTGAACGCGGGGTGATAGCCACCAACGGTAAAGACCCAGTCTCCATCAGAGTGATCTGTTGGTTGACTCTCTAGCTGTGGCTGATCTGGTTTCCACCAAGAATACAGCGCAAACCCTCCGGTGAGGTGGCAACCTGGATCCAGTATGTAGGAGTTTGGCGATAATTGTGCCTCGACCTTGAGAACACCAGCTGCTGGGTCCACAGTGCACAATAAGCCGAGCTCTATATGCGCAAATTTCTTCTCGGCTTTCGAGTTTGGCACATCACAGATTCCAACGCCAAAGATTCCTAATTTTACCACCGGAGCCCACTGGATTACTATAACGGCATCGATGGACAGGACCTGGAACGCAGTTACTTTTAGGCCAGCGGCTAGCCACATCGAGCCTAAGCTTGGGACTGCCCAGGGATTGTCTCCTTCCACCAGAGTTTGTAGGGCCTTCTGAGGAGATAGGTCACTGTCATTTGACGCGACAAATGGGAATGTCATGACTTCGGACACCGATGGATACCTCAACTGGACATTATATCCAAATGCGCCAGTGATGCCCGAAATCTCAGCGAACCCAAAGGTAATTAGAGGGCCTTCGAGTTTGGCGAAGACAAACACGCTCTTAAAAGCACCCACTTTCTCCGTTGCTTTATTATCCGCGTAGAAACCGGCTGCTTGGAACATCCACGGCTTGAAAGCTACGACCACTCCGCCTGCGAAGAAGTCCCGGGCATCTGAGGGGGTGTGTAGGAAACGCCCTGCTATAGTGACAGGAGGCTTATTGAATGCAACGGCCAGCCCTGCGAGATCAATCTTGAACTTGTCTGGGGTGGGCAGATTTTGGAGAGTGATGCCTTTCGCAAAGTGAAGGCTGATTTGAAAGCCCAAGAGGTCAAGCTCGAGGGGTCCTAGTGCCAATGTCGCATCGACAATGACAGTAAGAGTGTCACCAGCATAACTAAAACCGACGTTACTGATTGACAAAGGTCCCACAGCCTTCTTGAAAGGATCTTTCTTGACATCACCCGAACCCTTCTCGTGTGGTTTTTCGTCACTATCGGATTCTTTGGCCTTCGTCGGAGCTTGATTTGACGCCGCAGATTCGTCTTTTCCTGTAGGCTGGTCTTTTGTAGCTGGTTTCGGGTCGGATTTATTCTTTTGCCCGAATACGTAATCAATAGCCACATCTCTTTGTCCGGTCGCATTTTTGACAACGACGACGAAATGCCAACCTGCTTGTATGACGATGTCGTTGCCGTCACGTGACGTATTAGATTTTTCGCCAGCGCTATCGGGCTTTTTCGGCTCCTTGAATAGAATGTCCATCGTAAACGTGTCAGTTTTATTTACCGGATCTGGGTCCGGATTGATGACAACGGAGTTGATGTCGATCAGCTCAGCGCGCGTGATTCCCTTGGACGACTCATCGGCGGCTTGAGAAGTATCCTGCACCCATAGAAAATAAGCTTCCTCGAACAGCTGTGGAAGCTCTCCTACTAGTGGTATAGTCAGAGTTGGGAACTGGGATAGAGATGCTTTGATGATCCGCTTCGTGGAGCTTGATCTCGTAGTTGGTTTGTATTGAATAAACGCCAGTGAAAGGCCAATGATGTTAGCGTAGGCAGCAAAGAATATCGCTCGGTTCGGAATGCTCGCGCAGCTTATCCCGATCGCATTCCTCTTTGTCTGTGCACGGCTCACACTAATTTCGGACAGAAATGATGGGAGAATATCGGCCTCCGACCCTGTGATGCTCTTGAAGATATCCCCTACTGTGGTAGCCATAGGGCTATCATTAGATGCCGTTTCAACAAGCCGCGAGTTGAAAGTCCACCCAGTTGTCTTGTAAGTAAAAAATAGATCAAGCTCTAATGCACCAAAAAGGATGATGCCAGTGAAGGTGAAGGTGTTTCCGCCCGATGCCTGATATTGGTAGGACAGTTCAAGGTATTTGATGTCAATGTTTTCCATCAACTCCATGACGGGTCCTTCTGAGCCTTTGTGGAAGAAGGATGCTAGATGTCCGAAGCGTAAGTCCATCGCTGAACCGGATAGCGTCCACGAATGGTCAAGGCTATTGTATAGAAGCACTCCCCTTAGCTGCGCTGGCAGCGTGTCCTTGGAGCCTGTTTGCTGGTAAAGTCCAATGTCCACAACGACACCCATGTACCAGTCCCCCTTTTCCCAGAGATAACCAGCGTCTAAAGCTACCTTGCCGAGATTTATCTTGGGCGCGCCATCGTCAGAGCCTACATTAGTGCAGCTAATCGTACCGGAAAATCGGAGACCCTCCGACGAGATTTCTAGTGCTGCTTCCGTGACGTTTGTTGGGAAACCATTCGGAACACTACCGAGCTGTGGCCAGATTTCCTTAAGGTCCAACGACTCTTTGTAGTCGGCCTCATCTAACGGATATAAAATCCTGTACTCTTCCCATTCTGGGAGGAGTGGCGCGTATGCTAAAACGAGATCCTTAGGGGGTTCTACTTAATTAGCGTACGAACTCTGACAGCGAAGATAGGCGAAAACTCACTGAACCACAGACTTCCACGGAGTCTACTGAAGCCCTTGGACCAATCGTATGTGAAAAGGAACAGGATATTGGTCTGATCTCGCTTCAAGGTCGCCTGCATGTCTAAACTTACGCTTTCGATACTGTTCACTTTCCCGGTAGTGTCTAGACCTAGCTTGAGGTTTACCCGTCTGAGCTCTGGGAGGTTTATATGGCCCTCAGCCTTATCTAACCATGCATTGAAGTCAAAGTCTTTTAAGCCCAATAGTCCAGCTAGCCACTGGAGGAATGCGCCCAGGAAGCCCTTGTCATCTATCCGGAAAGTCATAACTAGAGAGTCTTGATGGAACTCTAGGATAGCGACAAATTTCTTGCTCAAGACGGTACACTTGGCCATTATTATGAGCTCAGAGTCGTCAAGAGCACTCATCTCTGACTTAATGACTGTCCAGCGTTTAACCAATTTCGCAATGACGGAAACACCATTCACGTCAAATCCTTTCAAGAATCCAAGGAGGTCTTGTACGAGCTTGAGGGCGGAGTTTGAGTCTCCTGCGTTGGTTGGTGCTAGCATGTATTCTAATCTCAAAGTCGTTTTGTAGCCTTGTTCTGGGGAGAACCATAGTGCATTTCTCCCTCTGGGGTTTAATGTAAGTTCAAGACCACCAAGGAACAGAAGAGCAGTGGATCTAGTCAAGTACCGTATACCGAGAAAGTTAATAACATCCTTGAGCTTTGCTGTAACCTGAGGCGCTTTTGCATCGACCCCAAGAATGAGCAAGTTTTGTGCCTCAAGTAGCCCCTCAGCTGTGACCTGTTGACTGAGAGATTTCGTGTCTCCTGATGCTACAGTTGGACCTGGAATGAGCATGGTGGGGGGATTCAGGGCTGAGTTGGCAGCTCGCGTGGTAAATTGGTATCCAGCGGACAGGGAAAGGGCAATCTCAGAAATGCTGCGATCTTTGTCAATGAGCATAGTGAACGAAGTTATCTTCCCGATGGAAAATTCTAGCCAGCAATACCATTCATCGGTACCGAGTATGGTAGAGGGTTTATCCGCTGGAAGTGGGTATGGCAATGCAACCGCACCGCCGTGAAGTGCATCTATGAAATTGTCGATCCTAGTTTCGCTGTAAACATGAATGTTCTCAGATATCGCATTTGCCAGCTTGGAGGATAGTAGAAGGAAGACATCTTTGGGGGGGGTTATCGGCGGCACTGGACCAGGACTCGGCGCGGGGATCTCTTTCTCTTGAATGAGATCATTCGGGTCCATTTCGTTGGGATCTGTGCCTTGCAGCATCGTGTATGTGCCTTTCCTCGCAATAATCGTGCCAGGCTTTGGGCCAATGGATCCACCACTCGCCCGTTTAGCCCAATACGGTACAAAAGATTGCCGGCCGTACCGTACGAACGGTTCTTGATCAGCGAGAGAGTGCACGGGAGCTCCTGTCGGAGTAGATGGTTGATTCCCTGGCGATGTTACGACGTCTGTGGTACGTTCGAAGCGTTGGGGACTGATTTTTGTTGCCTGTAATGTTGCTGGGGGAGCTATAGCTAGTGAAAAAATAGGCGTCCCCATAGCTTGTTGCCGGACGAGAACTTGTTGTTGAAGAAAGAGCTCTTGCTGTAACGCACCTCCTCCGCCTTGAAGAGGATTCTGTAGTGCAATTTGTTGTGTTTGGGTAAAATCCCCCTCTATACTCATCCCGCTGTCTTTCTTTATAAATCGAGCGACTAGTTCGACTACACCATCTTTGTTATCATTGCCATTTGATGAACGCACCATCACATACTCGACCTCCTCTCCCTTGATCAGAGTGGTCCAATGAACGTTGTTATAGGCGATACCTATGGCATCGAGACTTTCTTGCCGGACGCTAGACATGGCATTGAACCGCTCTTCTGCGATCCAGAAGAGATAGTGCCGGATTAACTTAAGATCAAGTTTACCGGAGGGAGTGGTCCAATTTCCGGCATTAAGATTATTCCGATAGGAATCCCAAGGATTCTCGGCAGCACTGCCACTTTCCCCATAAAGCCAGGTCATGTTTTGAATATGTGGCGATTGATCCGTGGCGTCTGTAAACCAAGCTAATGATGTGCGTAAGTCTGTAATGTCCCAGTTTTCGTCTCTAAGGAACCAGTAAGGATATCGAGTGCTGTAAACCGGCTTCGAATCGAGAAACTGCTTGCCTCGTAACAAAAGCCAACCATATAGGTTGTAGATTGTTTCCCATCCTGTGCCACGCGTGCGGGTTAGTGAACACTCGCGACCAGAGGGAATGCTAGCGAGAAGACTTACTAGGATGTCCGTGCTTGGAGCCGCTTGAGAAAATGATTTTGTTTGGATTGACCAGCAGCAACATCCGCAGAGGGGTTGAAGAGCTCGCTCCGTGGTGGCTGGCTTTCATTGACGTGATGTGGGCGCGGCCGATATCATCCTTGTCGAAGTTCTGGCCCAGCTTACCCAGAATCCACATGGCGATATCAAACTCCCTCGGGCCTTCGAGGTCGCCGGCAAAGTAGTGGGAGATGTTGAAAGGGTTGTTCCACATGATCAACGCACCAATTGAAGTCCGATTCGTGACGTTCGTAGCACCAATGGCAGCCGTTCCTGCCTCACCTAGAATCTGCCAGTTCGAACAGATTATGTACGCACCGGGCCTCTCACCCTGGGGAGGGTTATCGACCATGAGCTGCTGGGGCGACGTGATGGTCGCTTTATTAGCCAGCGGTATGCTCCCTGCGCCGATATTGAACAGGTTCAAGCCCAGTAGCCACCGGGCAGTAGAGCGGAAGCGGGCTATACGTTTCACCCAAATTTTGCGCCCAAAAAGGCCCTTTTCCTCCCAGTTGAACTTGAGGATGAACTGGCAGTACCCGTCGGGAGAAGGGTCCTCGTTAAAAGGGTAGCCCAGCGATACCGGTGCCACAACCTCTGTGAGCGGGTTTCCGTGACCGTCGTACTTGAACCAGTCGATCTGGAGTTTCTCGATGGCGATGGGCGCCATGCCCGACGTGACCTGCGCCGTGATCTGGGAGCCAAGAAGCTCCTTGAAGGCGCCCCAGTGGTCACTGTCGCGGTGGGTGATGACGAGGACATCGATCTTGGGCTCTTCGGGGGCGTTGGTGTATTTCGCTGCTATCCGGCCCCATGTTTGGACGACATGCTCTGGCCTGCTGTACTTGCCAACGAACCGCGCGCTCCGGGAGTCGCCCGTGTCGACAACCATAAGCTTGTCAATGGTGTTGTTCGACTCGTCGACGAGGACATGGAAAGCACAGTCGCCAATGCCAATGTTGACATAGTATGTGTCGACATGGAAGGGCATGATGGATGAGTAGGCAGCCTAGTCTGTCGCGGACAGGGCCGGGGAGTGTATAATGAGGGTATCCGCAAGTGAGCACTGCTAGTTGCTGGCTACGGTCCGCGGCCTGCGGTCTGCTTGCTGCCTCACCTCTGCCAGGCAAGAGTACACATACAAACACACCCACCGCGAAGTAGGACGCAGGGATTCTCGCTTCACGACGGTGCCCTGCTGCCGCGGATAATCACAGCGTTGCGAACAAACGCGGCCGTTCAAGCCCACGGTGGCTGGCTGAGCCAGCGACCGTGCCAACGCTCGCCAAAGGGGAATGTGATGTGTGAGAGAGGTGCAGGGTGAAATGCAAGCCTTCGCACCTCGCGTGCTGTTGACGAACATACTGAACACAGTGAGGTGAACACAGTAGTCTCGTCCTCCGAGGCCATTCTGAAGCGGCGCTGCAATACCAATGAGCTGCTGCTGCTTTCAGCTAGTCGACATCTCCTTCTGCGTTGCGGGTGCTCCGTCTACGGATTAGCTGTGGCTGGATTAGCTTCTCGACTCGCGGGCGGCCCGTCTAGTTCCCGCCCGCATCACTCCTGACTTACAGATGGAGACTCGGCGCCGGTAGCGGCTGCGGGCTGATCTGGGTGGATGTGAACGGCGAATTCCTTACGCCGTAAAAAACTCGACCTCAATGTTTCTGTACTTGTTCTGTACCGACATGACACACGCAGCTGCCTACGCCTTGAGTGTTCGTGCGCTAGATGCCAACCGCCCGCTTCAAAGCTCACCTCACCGCTCCCTGTGCGTGTACAGAAGTCAGCTACGAAGGCATATCGCCATCTAGCGAACGAGAAGCGGCCGAGTGCAAAGCGCCAGAACTCGCCCAGATGGAAAGCAGCAGCTACTCCATCAGAAGTCCAGCGAGGGTTTTCTCTAGCTAGATGCCCATTGTCGCGCCGAAATACTCTTCCCCTCTAGCCGTGGGCTTGCAGTGCAACAGCGTCCTCAACAACCACGCACACTGATAAACAAAACAGCTGAAAGATGGCTAGCCTCGCATCCCCGCCGCGCCATCTCGCTCTGCGCAACGCGCTGAATGCCCTAGCGGCGGGGCAGGACAGCAACGCGCCTGCTCCCCTTGCACCCGGCGAGCAGGAGCTCTTCTCGTACTACAGGCCGAGCCTGGCAGCGGGCCAGTACACCATCATCGTCTCGCAGGACGTCGAGTCTCCCGCCCAAGCACCCAACCGCTCCCATGGCTGGATCGACGGGCAGACGCTCTCCCCCAAGCCTGCCACCTCGCAGTCCTTCCGCGTGAACGCGCCCCAGTTCGCGCTGCCGGAGAACGCGGTGCGCTCCAGGTTCCCGCCGGACGGCTACGGAGCGCCCGTCGAGACGCTGCCGCATCTTGTCTTCAACGACCCGCACTTGCCGTGGGAGCGTGTCGGCAGCAGCGTGTCGAGCAAGGATGTCAAGGAGCATAGGAACAGCGTGCCGTGGCTCGCCCTACTGGTCTTCTCGCAGGATGAGCTCGTGCTCACCGACAAGGAGCTGGCCGACATGTTCGGGCAGTCGTCTAGCGTGGAGAAGCCTGTCAAGCAGTCTGCCACGTTCGAGGTGGCAGTCAAGGCCTCGGAACTGCGCCAGGTCCCAGGAACCGTGTTCCCCATCACCAACAACAACGACCCGGAGACAGAGGACGCGACGGTGAATGCAATCTTCCTCAAGCCAGCACTCTTCAACGAACTCGTCAGGACGTACGGCGAAGACGGCAAGCCGGCCGACAAGCAGCAAAAGGCCGATGTCAGTCGGTACAAATACCTCGCCCATGTGCGGAACATCAACACGGCGGGCATGCCCGAAGCAGGCAGGCAGGAGACTGGACTCTTCAGCGTCGTGCTGAGCCACCGCACCGGCCCGCTGGGCCTGACGGAGCCGGCGCCTGTCACCGTCCACCTGGTCTCGATCGAAGACGTCGAGAACCTAGCCGTGTATCCGGCGCCGGATGGACAGCGGATCGCCTTGCCCTCGCTGCAGAGCTGGACGTACAACTGCCTTCCCCCGAACGCGCCAGACCTCAGGTCGCAGATGCGGCACCTCGGAGACACGCTCGAGATGCTGCGGGTGCCCAAGCCCATCCTCGACAAACTATCGTATTCAGGCGACGCATCCAAAGTGAAGATTGCAGACCGGTTGCGCGATGGCTACACGTTGACGAGATACCGGCTGCAGACGGGTGAGGTGTCGTCGGCAATGCTCCGTGGCGCCCTGACGCCCACGTACGTCCCGCGCCCTCTGTCAGAGCGGTTCAAGTCGCTGTCGCTGGCGGGCAGTGACCTCGAGATCTTCGATCCGACTGTTGGCTTGATGGATCTCACCTACTCGGCTGCGTGGCAGCTGGGCAAGGCGTTGGCCATCGCGGACCAGGGGTTCAGCGCATCCCTGTCTCGCATCCGCACGCTGGTCCACCAACGCACGATGAACAACGCGAAAGCAAAGCTGCTTGGCGGGTCTCACGTGAGCCTCGAAGACGCGGTGGGATCGGTGCAGTCGGTTGTGGACACGCTCAGAGCCATCAGCGCGCCCCGGCCCGATATCCTCGTGAACAATCCTAATCATAATATGCTGGATCGATGGAGGAGGCCGGAGCGCCAGCCTCTGGACTTGTCCCTTGGCAATACAGTGCTGCAACAGGAGTTCAGTCAAGAGGCAGGCTCGGTCGTCAAATTCTTTGCCGGCAGCTCGGACTCGGATGGAGACGAGCTGTACAATGAGCTAAACAAGCCCAACTCGACCGACTGGATGACGTTGCTTACGTGGGTGCTGGACCGCATGTACCTCGCCAACATCCCCGCACACTATCTTATTCCCGATCCATCCTATCTCCCGGCTGAGAGCATGCGCCTGTTCTACATCGATGCAAACTGGATAGACGCCCTGGTCGACGGTGCGCTGAGTATAGGTCACCATCTCGAGGATAAAGACGACACCATCCGGACATGGATCAAGAAGACAATCAACAGGTACCTATCAAAAGAGATCCCCGGCGCCGGCTACCGGCCGCAGATCCCGACCTACGGCTTCCTGATGCGCTCCGACGTCGTGTCGCAGTACCCGGATCTGAAGGTTCAAGCTCCTCTCACGCCCAAGTCGCCGTCGCCCGAAGAAGACCCCTCTGCCAAGCTGCCCGCAACGATTTTGCGGCACACGAACATCGCCGAAGGCGTCAAGCTCTGCCTGTTCGACCGGTACCCAGGCACACGCGACTTTGTGGATTTGCACAGCCTCAGGTTTACCCAGCCGCCGCACCAGCAGTCGTTTGTGGTCGGGCCCCATCTCGACGGCGCCTCCCTCGAAACGTCATATAAGCGCATCTTTAGTCAGTTTGATAAAGATAACGAGTACAAGAATCTATGTGACGACGGAAAGTGGTTCAAGAACCTTACTGTAGACCCCAACAAACCGCCACCGCCGCCACCCATCTTCCGGTGGGGAGGGCCGGACAATGAAGTCAGGACGTTGATCCTCGAAACCTACTCCGCAGATGTCCTCGCGAAGCTCAAGGATAACATGCCAGCGGGCAAGTTCACGGACGACACGGCTACGTCGGCGATGATCGCGGTGCAGCTGAACAAACCGGTCTACAAGATGGATGTCAAGGCCGATCCGGGTGGGAAGCCCCCGGAGACGAAGCCGGTCATGAGCTTAATGATGCTAGAACCGAGAAGCCAGAATATCGCTGCGCAGAGTCTTCTTACGGGATGGTCGCTGGACGAAGAGGAGGAAGAGGCTGAGAAGACTTTCATGTTGCCTCCCCTCGAGGATAGGCTCACACTTCAATCAACGCCTGTGCAAGCAGCAGCCCCTCACTTCAGGTCCACGCAGGCTGCCTCTATAGAGGAAAGCGAGCGAGTTAAAGTACTCATGATGACAACCCCCCCAGTCATATCACAACTACAAACAGCAGCACTTTCAAAGAGCGTCAGCCTCACATCGAGCATCCCTCAAGCTCTAGCCATGACGCCATTCGACGAGGCAGCCACCAAAACCGGACCAGCAAACAAGCCCATATTCAAGTACAGCCTCTACCCAATCTCCACCCTAGAAGAGTCGGCGCTTGGCATCCCGACCAACTCGCCAATCAAGCAGGACCTAGTCTTCTCCATAGTGCACACGAACCCAAAGCCCGGCCGCTTCCACCTCAGCGAGATCAAGCTCGTCGTGCCCAAGGGCCCTCCCAGGACCGGCAGCGACGTCAAGCGGCTGAACCTGCTGAGCACGTACGCCGGCCCGGGTCCGACGATGCTCAGCAACCTCCGGTTCAACGTGATCGCCGAGCACAGCCCACAGTCGCTCACGCTGCGTGTGGTGCCCCGCAGCACGACTGGATACGTGCACATTGACTTTGTCAAGGAAGCGAGCTTTGTGCTCGGCCTCGTCGACGTGAACCCGTATAGCGGCCGCAGAGAGTCGAGCCTGATCTGGAGGGAGAAGTACGTAGAGTTTGTCAACGAGTTCACAGGCGAATTTCCTATAGTCCTGTATGAAAAGCAGCCCGATTAAGTGGGCGTGTTGGCGCTGGGGGGGTTTGCAGCTAGCCCCCGGGACGCGGACGCAATACATGGGTTGACGCTAGGATAGTTTTCAGAGCCGGGTCGGGGTTTGTATTGTATGAGTACCAAAGGCTCAGCTAAGCAGCGTTCTTCTCCATTAGCCACTTCTCGGTGCGGTAATGCTGGGTGGGGCCGCTATCAACGTCGGCGCCTCCGCGTTCTCCAGGTGCTACATGCAGAAGCCTTGACCATGGGGGTTTCTCCCACAAATCCCTAAAAAAAAAAAATGTAAAGGCTGCCTCCAGTCCGAGTCCGAGACGTCGCCATCACTAGCGAGAGGTAGGGAGGATGTGACACTGGCATTGGCTAGTTTGGAGAGCTACCCTCCGAGCCGCGCGCCACAATCCTGCCGTCACGCTACAATGCAGTGAGCCGTCAAGCCTCTTTTCAGCTCACCACCGTGAGGGCGCCGCACCACCACTATGGAAGGCAATCTAGAGGTCGCGCGATCCGGACGACATGGTCGCCGTGGGGTACTTGAGCTGGCGAGCTCCGTCTCTGGCATTGACTGACCAGGTCGTCACCTTAATAGCATTTCGCCCTCCGCTATGACTACCCCTCCCAAACCCATGGCAGCTTTTGCAGCTCTGCCTGACCCTCTCACACCGGGACTCAACAATCTGCTGGTCTTCTACAACAATACCAACAGCAATATCAACCTCGTCAAGCGTAATATCGATGAGGACGCAAAGAACATCTACAAAGACGTGCCGGGCACACCCAAGGGCGCTGTTGGCAACCCTTCTTCGCTAACGGCGATTCGGTGGAACAACCTCGTCCGTATTTCCCTTTTTTCACTACGTATAGAGCTATCTAGCGCGGACAGCACCTGACTGACTGGGTGTAGGTCCAAGTGTTCGGCACGGACACGGATGGCTTTGTCGTCCGCCTCAGCCCGTCTCCCCAGTACGTGTCCAGCGACGCTATTGTGAGCCTGGATGTCACAGACCCCACTTCCACCGGCATCGCCAGCACGACAGACGGAAGCAAGGCGTGGCTGTACTTCTTCAAGTGAGTGGAGAAAAAGATACGCCGAAAATATCGGCTCGGTTTGCTAAACGGCGCACTTCTTCAGGCGCGGCACCAACAAGATTACCGAGTACGACCTGGACGTTAAGAACTCGACGGGCTTGGGCTATAGCCCAGACCCGCTCAGTTATCTGTCTGCCACCTACGATACCGACGAGCGCAATCGTTGGATATTCTTCCAGCTCGGGCAGGATGACAAGGACGGCCAGATCCAGGCTGTCAACCTCGATAAGAACAAGTGTACGTGACCAGGCTTTCAAGCATCCCCCTCTGAATTAGTGACAAAAGCATGCTGATCAGGGCCCGTTGTTTCTAGCGTACATCATCCCCGGCTCAGTGAACTCCAAGGCGCAGACGCCGATCGCTGCCGTCTACGCCAACAAGCGATTCTACGTGTACAGCGTCAACGCCAAGGGAAGGATCATGCGGTCCTACTCCGTGGTCACCGACAAAGGGCTGCAATTCACCAGCGTGTCGACGATCGAGGGCCTTACGGTTGGTAGCTTTAGCCAGCTGGCAGTATCGGCTGGCGACGGCTTCAACTATCTCTTCTTCGGCAGCAAGCCGGATACAACGGGAGCGTTCCCGGTGATCGACTACAAGGACCCGCACCAGTCTAAAGACTAGCCCTGCCATAGCTTCTGTTACTTAGGAAATCTGCACCATTGTTGTCAGATTGAGATTTCCAATCGTGCCTTGTTTTTTATTTAAAAAAATTTTAAATTTTAAATTTTAAATTTTTTTTTTCCATAAACCAAGGCCTAAATGTGCAGGCTGGTGGTTGGCACGGGGAGCAGAGCTGTGTGACCAGAACTACTGGTTCATTCTAGCAGAGATTTATGACACTCTACGATACTGATTGGATCTAGGACATGAATAGCAGTCGATAACGAGACTGCCTCTTCTTATGCAATTGACATTTTGGCCAGATAGTTTTCTTTCATACTCCTCTTTGGCTCCTTGCCTGGTCGGTTAGTAGCCCGGTATTCTCGGGGATTTTTGAATAGCAATTCTTGTCCCTCATTAGTGAAATTAAGCGAATTTAGCGGAGCTCGTGGCCGAGCACGCCAGCCCTGCATGGAATATTGAAATTTATTACCGACATGGCGGTCCTAGCGCGGAGGACTCAAAGGGAAAGAAGCACTACCTGGCGTCGATTCGCCTTGGACTTGGCTATGCGTGACGAGCCGTGCGGTAGTCGATGTGAAGCCACCTGCATGAACATACCTCACTCTAGCCATTGCTATGGGCTTTCCGTGCCGGTGGCGAGCTGAAAGAAGCTGCTTTTCGCGTCCCTTATCAGCTTGTGGCTTTGAGCTCGTCCTGCTGTGCAGCTGCTACTCGTCTCTTTGAGTTGATTTGTTTCTAGCAGCGACTGGGGGGCATTTGGTCTCGACCGCTTCTGCCGATATCGGTGAATGTTTCTCCATGTGCTCTTGCAAGTGTAGCAAAAACTGTGTAGCTCTAGTAACAATTACCACCCATTCGTGTAGTGTGAGAGTTTGTGCTTAACAGAACAGAGCTATTCAGCTTCTGCTTGGTGGCTGACAGTACATTTGGAACAACCACATCCTCTTTACAACGACTTTAACAGGCAAAAGTCGATATTGGAGAAGATAGCTATCACATAGCACATCCGGGGGGGGGCTAGGGCCACTGTTAGGCTAAGGAGTATCATCTCTCTAGCAGCGATCCTACGCCGTCTTGCCATCAGCTTTTAACACCTTACCAGCGCAAGATGAGCACCTTCGGGGCCTCTCAAGCCCTGGCAGTTCCTGTCAAGCTCGATGCCTTCGTCTTCAACGAAGATGTGTGCAACGGCGGCAAATACGACAGCAAAATTGCTCCGCTAACACAGCCAAACTACACGTTCCTGCGCCTAGACAGGTCATGGATCCAGCACGACGTCCTTGCCCACGCCGACTTGCACGTCACCACGCCTGCAGAATGCAACTCGCGATACACGGACCTAGGTACCCACCTACCTCGTAAGAACAGAGAAGGCGTATACCTACATTGGATGATACCACGACCTTACAGAACCGGGTCAGCTGCGACGGAAGCAGCGGCCAGTCCGCCGGCACAGCGGACCGAGCCGCTAACGACACAGCAGCCAGCACAACGACCAGAAAACCGGCCAAATCTCAACTTGGATTCAAGTGCTGGGAAGTTCCAAGAGGCGCCGGCGAGATGGCTAGTGGTCCGGAAGATCAACAATCGAGCATCGTTGATTCCAGCGAATGCGCCTGTCCCCGACGTGGAATTCTGGGTGATTGAGAGCGACCGGCGAAGGTCGTTGGACGAGCTCGGTTTCGATGTCGATCTTCAAGTCGACGTGTCGCCTTTCATATACGCGGAAAAGAAGGGAGACGCCTACAAAGCGGATATTAGCGAACAGGCAGAGATATTCATCGGCTGTAAACAACGCGCCGCTGATTGGACAGGCGATCAGGAGGGCGTGAAGAAACCACGTGTCTTGTTGAATCTCCTCAATAGCTCGAATCAGCTCTTTGCAGACTACCAGCCGCATAATGGCAATGTTTTCAGTATGCTAGACGACTTTGCTTACATTGACCCCACGGATAAGACAAAGAAACGACTACAGGCAGCCGATGTGAGTTACTACGTCCTAGGCTGGCACTCTCCCGAACAGAAGAGTTTGTTGTCTGGCTTGAAAGGCACGAGACGGGCAGAGATTAGCAAACTCGGTATGGCTTTGGTCAACGACAATGACAGCGATCAGGGCGAATGGCTGAAGTCCACTTCCGACGCTGACTTGATCTGCCACGGCGCAATGTACGACGTGCAATGGAACGCAACAGGGAAGCCAAAAACGCCAGGAGATTTCTTCGGAAACTTCCTAGCAGACAACCATCCGGTGGCCGTCGGAACGACCCCGATGGATGCTCTCCTCGCCTATGTCCATATCCACAAAGACCTCGACATTGGTGAGCCGAAGGAGCTTGAACGACGCATTGATGCATTTCAGAAGCTCCTACAAGCCCGAGACGACGGCGTAGAAGCACAACGCGAGGCAGCCGACCTGCTCGTGAGCTGGAACTTCCAGCATGAAAATGGTGGGAAACGCTACTTTCTCTCTGGCACGAGTTCTGCCGACGGCGCGAAACCCACCAAACCAGATGAGAAAGATGTCACGGCTCTACTGGCACTGAATCAAACACAACTCCTACTCGATGTTTGTGAACGTTACAAGAGGCAAGTGCAGTGGAGCCTCTTCTCGCAGTGGTGGATCTACAATAGTAGCAGTGCCGAAGCTAGAGACAGTGACGATACATATAAGATACGGATCTGTCAGCTTATGCAAACCGCAAATAAACTAGACTTGAAAATTGGTGATCTAAAGGCCGACGTAGATTCAAAGACCAAGAAGTTGGCTCTCGCGAAGGCGGGTGTAAGGACGGCATTCTCACAACAGCGTGACCCTACACTCCTAGTCGGCGGTGTACGCTCCGGTTGGCCGCATGATTATCTAGAGGCTCTACAAGTCCGAATCGAATCCCAGGTCATCCAAGGTGGTGCAAACCCTATCCTTGATGATACCATTCTAGCAAAGCTCCCCCACAAACTCAAGACTGCCGCAGAGGCATTGCTAAAAGAGTTCATCGTTCTGTCTCCAGAGGCGTCGCCGCCCACATTAACTAAGCCACAGGTGACTCCGCTATACCACGATACGGTTCTCAACTACCACAATATTCCAGACCCGTCCAAGCCGGAACGTCTTTGGCGGGATAGGTGGGAAAACAGGCAACCGTGGTTTCCACTATTCCTTGAATGGGAGGCAGAGTATACCCATGTGGAGTTCCAGCACTGGAATCTCGAGGAGCGCGCCACCGATAAATCCGCTCCTAAAAAGCTGAGATACAGTATCGATAACGCAAGGCCTGTGCAGCAAGTAGCGAAAGAGGATGGAAAGGACGGGAAGCCAGACACTCGCACCGTCTCGGGTAGAGTCTTGGTCTTGCCGCAACCTAACTTATCTCTAAAATCTAAGTTGGAGCAAGTGTTCTCTAGCACCCCTAAGGAGATCCTTGACGATACAGGTATTGATGACATCGAAAGGAAGGAGCTGGTTGCGAAGCTTGACGAGTTGGCCTTTCTCTCCGCGCCGCTTTCCGGATTTATTAACCATCTTATCACTCGATTTCAGGGTAGCCACATCAAACCCAATATTCGACCTCCGGGAGAGATTACCAGGCCGATAGATAAGGCCACCAAGCCTTCAGCAGGTTTCACTAGCCAGGTTCTAAGCTTTATCGACGATGCTACGGACCTGACACCGTATGGCACTTCCGTAGACTCTAATAAAAGCTATTCGCCGTTCAAGCCGGCAACCCATGGGCAGTTTCGGTTTACCAAGCTCAACATCATTGACAAGTTCGGGCAAGCAATTCACGCCATTGATCCGACCCCTTATCGAGCTGGGCCTCTGCCGTTATATGTCACTGTCAGTGAATTCTTACAACCTCAATCGCTAGTAGACGACAAATATACAGCAAACACCGTCGTTCTTGACAAGCCTGGATTTTGCCAATACGCTCAGCTACCTCCACAAATTAACCAGCTTTGCCGCTTGAACACCGCTTTCCTAAATCTCAACGAGGAAGCGCCGTACTGGACGCCGGCCAACGAATGGGACAATCCGATTTGGGGTTGGGTTTTGATTAACTACGCCAATTTAGGTGTTCAGCTCTTTCTACCTGACGGCACCTTTTTCCGCGAGGTTCGCTTTGGCGGGCCAGATGGAACCCAGGCCTCTCCTCCGTTCTTACCTTTCGGCCATGATGACACAACAGTCATAGGCAAGGGCGTGAAACAGCTGCAAGCACTTGTTGATCAATTCAAAGCGGGGCCATATCTACAAGCTTTTGTAGATATGATAACAGAAGCGCTGCAGAATAGCCCGGCCGCTCCAACCGCTTATGCCGAATTTCTTAATTCGGTTGTTAGCAAGCCGTTCGCTCTTGTAAATATTGGAATGTCGCTGGAGTCTGCACTTGATGAACAAACGAATCAATCTGTGCTCAACCCGAAAAATGGACCGTTCAAGATTCGGGCACCTCCGGGACAGAAAGAACCTGGCAATCGCAAACCCGGAGTCGGCAAGCCTAGTGACAGTAAGGCCGACAGCAGCAAACCCGGCACAGATTCTGGAGACAAGATTTACGAGTTCAAAGTTAAAGTTGGAGACGCAGAACGTTTATTTGACGGCCTGGTCGGCTATTACAACACCTCAATAACGCCTGGTGCCACGCCAGTGATAGATCTTACTGCCATCAATACTTTCTTCACCAAAACGAAAGACAACATTAAATCTGACCCGAGGTTGAATATCACTACCGAGTCCTTTCCTACTTTGTCAGCTTTCTGGATCGACCCCACAGATTTAGAAAGCGCAACATATGAGGAGCAGCGCAATTTGGAATACTCGAAGCATGCTTTCGTAGCGTTAGTCAATCCCTTCACTCCCGTACACGTATATTCCTCTATCCTTCCTATCCAATCCCTCTCACTCCCTTCTTGGACATGGCAGGATGCCCTCAACAAGATGACCGCATTCTTTACTATGGGACCTTTGATCATACCGACAAATGTTCCGACTTACGATAAATCTCACCAATTAGCCAGTGACAAGAAGCTCACCGACAAGGAGGCGTTATATCCAAAGGTCACAGTCCCGATACCGACTGTTGACCTGGCGGACTGGGCGTGGCTTCAGCCGTATATCAGCGAAACGGCAAAGACGGCGGATGAGCGAACATGCATGGCACTAGGAATCGCCAAGGTCGATGAAAGACCACGATTTGAACCAGGGCCGTATACAGCTTTAGAAGGGTTTTTACAGATGAGAAGGCCTATTGTAAGACCCGATGAAAATGGGACTTAAAAGGAGTCATGAAGCTGTCACTTTACGCGAACATCACTCAGTACGCTGTGGGTTCATACTCAGGGCCAAGGGAATGTTCTGCGCGGTTATTGCGAAGATGATAAATTTTGCAATCTGAAAACAGTTATAAAGAAGCAATCTCTAACCAAAATTTAACGACTTACTGCCAGCGTTTCCATCAGGAAGTAGTACAATTCAACTTAGGCTTTCTAGACAAGTTACGTCTCACTTATTATATACTTTTGTTTGCTTCACCTAACAGTAGGGGTTAATATAATTAAGTTACAATTTAATTAAAGCTACTTATACTTTTTAACTTTTTACTAAAAGTTATAATATAACTATTAAAGCTTTTAAAGTAGCAGGGTTCCTCTTACTCTTAATATAGTACATAAGGTTATTTAATTTATTAAAAATAACTTTATAACATAGCTAGTTTTTCTAAAGTTATAGAACTTTAATTATAAAGCCTAAAAAATAATTATAGTTATAAGTAACTATCTTTTTCCCTCTACTAAAGTCTCTCTCGCAGTTGCAGCTTATAGAGGGTATACATAGGAAATTAAATGCTATTTTAAAAAGTATAAAATAGTTGCGCTAACTAACCTAGAGCTACTAATCTAAAGGTTTTTTATATAAGAGACTGTTATCTTTTACTATAATAAGGTTATTTAAAAAGTTATTATAGTATAAAGTACATGTTAAAGTTTTTTTAGGCCTTTTTATAAGACTTTCTTTTTGTAAGTAAAGTTATATTAACTAAAAAAGTCTATTTATAGCAGAAGTTATAAGCACTACTAGATAAAAGTTATTTATCTTATAGCAGCTTATTAAGCTTATTCTTTTTCAATTTTTTAGCATTTATATACTTTTAAAAGACTTTAAGCATTAAAGCTTTTACTTTTTTATACTATAGGCTATAATACTTTTAATAGTTTTTAAACTATTAAAGATACAGTTTTAAGTAAAAAATAGTTATAACTGTATAGTAAAAAACTAAAGAATTGATAATAAACATATTTTAGTATATAAAAAGTTATTTTAGTTTGTATAAAACACTACTTTTAAGGTAGCTATTAGCTGTAGGCTTTAGTGTTACTTTTCTTTGCAACAGCTTAGTATAAAGTAATTATATATTAATAATAAACATTTATAGTAAACTTTATTTTATATTTATTTTTAGTTTTTTTATTATTTAATAAAAAACTTAAAGAAACTTTATAAAACACTTAGCCTACTTTTACTTTTTTTTTAGTAATTATATGTTATAAAGCTGTGTTCCTAGTTATATAAACATTATTTCTATTATTATTAGTGTCTTACTACTTATAAATAAACTCTATAATAGCATCTCTAAGCTCTAAATAATAGAGGACTATAAAATAGATAAAATGCTAGTGAACACTTTTATCTTATACTAAGTTAAAAGTGCTAAAGCTTTAAAAATAGCTTTTATTAGATATAAATTATTAAACTACTTTAAAAGCTTTATAGCACTTATAAAAAAATTATATTAATAAAATTATAAAGCTTTTTATAACTTTATGCTTCTAGTATAAGTTAAACTGCTTTTAAAAAGCAGCCTAGGCTAAGGTAGATTTAAATTAGCTTAATATTTTACTATAAATAACAGCTTTTACTACTAATTATATAGTATAACTAGCGCAGCGCAGGTGGTGCTGCTTGTTAAGGTCTATGCTAAGATGTTTTCTTAGAAATAAGATTTTAAAGTTATTATTATTTAATATATTATTTGTTAAATAGGCTCTTTTAGCTAGCTGCTTATAGTATAAGCACTTAAGTAGCAAGAGTAAGAGTAGTGTACAGTGTGCACAGCGTACAAAGTAGGTAGGGTGGGAGCAACATGTTTCTAGTTCTATATTGCTCTGTCTTTCCTCTGTACAGAGGGAAAGAGGAATATCTAGATGTTTACGCACAGAGGTTTACACATAAGCATTATGTAACATAGCTACATAATTCTTCTCTTGCGCAATAATTATCTAGACTGTAACACTGTTACTATGTACAGACACTAGCAACTTTTTTATTTTTGCCTAAAAAGTTGCCTTCTGTACTAGTTACCTCTCTCTTATTTATGCAAGTCTATCTAAATATGTTCTGCCTATACTTTACTTTATTTATTAGACTTTACTCTAGTAATGCTGTATATTAAAATAAGCTAGTTATACTTTATAAATAGCTCTATAAATAATATAAAGTGTTTAAGCTATTATTATCTAGCTTTATGCGCTTGTCTTATAGATGTTTAGCAGTATATAAGCTATTTTATACAGGATTCTGTAACAGGATAGTGTAGAATCTTTATGCAAAAAGGTGCATAAGAAGGTGTATATAATAACGTTTTTTTCCCTCTTTTTACCTTCTTTTTTTAGCTCTAACTTTACAAACTCTACTGTATAATCCCCTAGCTCTTTTCTTTTCTTATATAGTGCTAATAGTAACAGGTCCTTCTGCACACACACACACACACACACATAATGTCTCTCTAGCCCTTTTTCTTCTCCTCTAACGCTGCTAGCGTAGGGGTCTTTAATATTCTTATGCAGCCTAATAGCCTAGAACGCATCTATGTTACTCTTTTAAGTAGTTCTACTGCTAATTAGTAGTTTATATAGCATTTTTATATAAATATATAAAAATTTTAACTTTTCTGCTTCTTTTTTATACTAAAGGCTAATATAAGTAGTCTAAGAAGTAGCATGTAACAACTTTACTATTACATAATATTAATGTTATTCTGCCTACTAGCACTAACCTAGAGCTGTAAGTAGCTAAGGTTATGCAGTGTAAGAGGTACTTTTATGTAGTTTTAGTTTAAAGTTATAGTTAAGTTCTAGTAACTTTATATTTTTATTATTATAGTAGCACTACTAGTGCTTTTTTTTTTATTAAGTGTTACATGCTAGCTAACTTTTAAGCTAATGCCTACACCTTATGTGTATAGTAGAGCTGTAGCCTGCACTATAACTACTACACATAAGAGGTAGTGTGTTTTAGAGAAAAGACTAGTAGTTTTTCTTTTCCTGTATACTAGCTAAAGAAAATGCCTTTCTTATATATGCTTCTTTTCTAATCTTATATAAAAGTAAAAAAAAATAAAAAAATAAGCTTTATATAAATGTGTTGTTAGTCTAGTTAGTCTAAAGCATCTTTGCGCACAAGATCTAGCTAGTCTACAGAAGCTTCTATTTAGACAAAAAGGCAGTTAGTTAAGACTAATAGTTAAAAAGCCTAATTTAGTGTTTTTTTTATATATGCATTTATAAAGTTATTTTTACTATTAATTTACTTAATCTTTATAATTTTTCTTTTTTTATATAATTTATAGAGTAATATAATGTTAATTATTAGTTATTTTTTACTAATAGTGCCTAGCTTAATAAAGTAATTATAAAATACTACGACAGTTTATAAATGATCTGTAAAAGCAAAGCTTGCTTAGAGCAATAGTTAGTACAATAAGGTAGGTTATTTAGGTTAAAGAATAGTTATAGCATAATGCTTAGCAAATTAGTATTAGACAGGTAATAGACACATAATAATAATATTTAACTATAGCATGTAACTAATTACAGCCTGTAACTAAGCATAGCTAATACTAATCTCTAACACACTAATATAGCTAATGCTAATCTCTAACACACTAATATCGCTAATGCTAATCCTTAACACACTAATATAGCTAATGCTATTTCCTAA